CCCCCCCCCCCCAGCGTCCTACGGACCTGAGAAGCTTGATGATGGCACCGCAAGTCGCAGGTACGAAACACCCTCATTACTCCCACCCCACCAGGCACAGTACCAGCGCCACTTCGTACCCAGCCTTGCTGTTGGAACTCAGTCCTGGAGAAGAGTAACTGATGCTCTAATGAGCAGATGGGGATGGCTATATGGATCGTGTTTTTAAAACACAGGACGTTTTATTACAGTGTAATCGAAGCAGACTCACTTTTCACTCAACGGAAATTAACTGCCTACATTGGCTCAAACTCAGGCCTGATGACATCTAGGTCTTGTGAGGGCCGCGGCCTCTGCTCCCCGACACTTCAGTTTTGCCAGGGGCATATACTCGACCCCCTCGCTCAATGACCCTCTGACATTGAAACCTCGCTGACTCTTCCCATCTTACCCCTCTCCCCATACTAGATGGATCACTGATTGGGCCCTGGGGGGGGAGGGGGTCTCACACGTGCCCCTCAAGGCAGGACAGGAGATTAAGGTTTTGGGGGGCCCAAATCTTACTCAATTTTAGAACCCTCAAAAATAATTCTAATAATTCTAATAATTCGGAAGTGAGTGTTTATTTGGAGCAGGAACAGAAAGGGGCTTAAACTTCATCACCTTCCAGTTAATCCGTCTCAAACCTAACCACCACTGTCCTGTCTCCTGTGTCATCTATCTACCCGCCTCCATTCAGCCTGACTCTGAGGCAGGCAAGGCCCAGACAGCCCTGGCCACAGCTGAGGAAAGGACAAGTAGACACACAGGGCTCTCAGTCCTTAGCTCACCACATGTCTGTGAGATAGTGGGGTTCTGCCTGTAAGCCTCCAACCCTTTTGATCTACAACCCCACTTCCGAGGCCCCACCCACGGCTGCTTGAGGGAAGGTACAGGATACTGGGGAGGCTCCAAGGCTATAAATCTGATGAAAGGCAATTCATAAAGGTTTAAAGTAGAGTGATTACAAAGAGGAAAGCCCATCCCCCTCCTGTCCTTGAGCTCCTGCTCTCAGAGTGTCAGTGGTCTTGGGCCTGCTCCCCCAAATCAGAAGAGTCTGGCCCTCAGGTCACCCAGCCTCTTTCTCAGGGATGCAGAGAGAGTAAGTGCTGGATTGTAGGGTTCTCTTGCCATCTTTCCACCTTCATCTGAGCTCTCCTTTCCCCAGTGACTCACCCCAGCCCACCCCCAGGTGAAACAAGGAAACTCAAGGCTTTCCTCCACCTGTTCTGCATCCTCAGGATGGCTCCCTGACCACAGATCTATGCCTAGGCCCCAACTCATGTTAAGCAATGTTCATATTCACTCCAGGACAAATGAGAACCCGGTTCTCTACCCCCTAGTCCTACCCAGCATCAGCACTGTAGCCCAGCATCCCCTTACTTACACACACACACACACACACACACACACACACACACACACACACACACAGAGTGAGAGGCTCAGAAGCAGCTGAATCACACCACAAACTTATTCTTGGCTAGGGAGTTGCTCTTGGTGGCAGTGTCTGCATGGGCCTGGTACCCAATGACGATCTTCGTGGAGAGGCCCAGGCGCTCTTTGTACACACGCCTGGGGGAGGAGTAGGAGAGGAAATTAAATAGCAGCAAGTGCTGGAGATCACCTGGGACCCTGGGTCCTTTGCCCATACGTCCTACCCTAGTTCCAGCCACCATCACTCTTGTGACATCTTACCCATGTGGAAACCCAAAATATGACTCTTTATGCAAAAGAAAAGAGTCCTGCTGGAAACAGCTTGAAATCTGGATTCCAAACCCTCATATACATGGGTAAGGAAAAAGGAGGAGCTGACATGGAGAGTTCCAGAGGTCTCCCTCACAGGCCAAGCCACACCACCCTCAACTTCTCCCCTGGAAGAGACCCTGTGCCAGAGATATCACCCACCCAATGTGCAGCACGCCCGCCTGGTTCTCTGCCTCCCTGGTCCACACAGCAATCTTGTCTCCCTTGGTTCGGATGTTGATGACAGCCCCACACACCTCCCGGCTGTGCTCCTCAAAGCTCTCCCCGATCAGACAGAGCAGCTGGGGCCAAAAGGAAGATGGTGAGACCTCCACCTCAGTTACAGGGACTGCCCCACTATCCTTGATGGTGCCACCACACCAGCCAGCCTCTTCTCTTGGGGACCTCC